GAAACTCTGCATGGCACATCATAGTAAAAATATTAAATGTGAGACAATACTGAAAGCAGCAAAAGAAAAACAACAAGTCACAGATAAAGGAAAACCAATCAGAATTACAGCTGAATTTTCAATGTAAACTATGAAAACCAGAAGAGCCTTGACCAAAGTATTCCCAGTTATAAATGACCACAGATGCCAACCCAGATTACTTTACTCAGTCAAAATGTCTATTATATTAGAAGGGGAAAGAAAATCTCCATGACATAAATAGGCTGAAAGAATTCATGTCCACAAAACCAGCCCTTCAGAGAATTCTTGAAGCAATACAAAGAGCTGAAGAAAGGAGCGACTACACCCAAGGGGTTACGGAAAGTAACTTAATGAAGGTGTAACTATGGAAATGCACAGCTACACCAAGAATGTGAACAGTAATAAAAATGACAGCAATCAATACACATCTTTTATTAATAACTTTAAGTATCAAAGGACTGAACTCCCGAGCAAAAAGACACAGAGTAGTTCAACGGATTAAGAAACAAAACCCATCTTTTTGTTGTCTGCAAGGAGCTCATCTCACGCCTGAATCTACAAAAGAAATCCACATGTCAGTCACAGAGTAAAAATAATAACATAAAAAATCAAAATAATATATCCCCACCAAGTACCAGCAGTCCTCTAGAGGAGCCTTAGAAGGACAGGTACTATCGTAAGGTGAAAGGATGGGGAAAAATATACCAAGAAAATGGTACTAAGGAAAAAGCAGGCATTGCAATTCTAATATCTGACAAAATAGTCTTTAACACTAATCAGAAGAGACAAAGGGGGCCACTTCATTCTGGTAAAAAGAACAACTAACCAAGAAGATATATTACAATCATGAACATATATTCAGCAAACTCTGGTGTACCCGACTTCATAAAATCAGTACTACAGGACTTTAAGGCTCACATTAATCCCAACTCATTAATAGTGGGTGACTTCAGTACCCCATTGTCTCCATTAGACAGGTCAACAGGAGAGAGAATTAACAGAGAGACAACTGAATTAAACAATACCATACATCAAATGGGCCTAACAGACATCTACCAAATAGTACACCCAAGCACCAAAGAATATACTTTCTATTCAGCACCCCATAGAACTTTCTCCAAAATAGACCATATACTGGGGCACAAAACAAAACCTCAACACATACAAATAGACTGGAATAATTCCATGCATTCTATCAGACCACAATACAATAAAGCCTGAAATCAACACCGGAAGAAACCCTAGTAACTACATGAACACATGGAGATTAAACAACACACTCCTGAATGATGAATGGGTTAAAGGAGAATTTAAGAAAGACATAAAAGTATTCACGGAACTAAATGAAAAGAACAATACAACACAACATCTGGGACACGTTGAAAGAAGTCCTTAGAGGGAAGTCTCAAAAAGACCAAAAAAAAAAAAAAATCAGAATGAACACAAATAAATGACTTAACATTGTAACTCAAGACACTTGAAAAGCAACAGCAAATGAAGCCCAAACCCAGAAGACAAGAAGAAGTAACAAAAATCAGGACATAAATTAATGAAAATGAAACAAAGAAAATACAAAGAATCAACGAATCCAAGAGCTGTTTCTTTGAAAAGATAAACAAGATTGACAGACCACTAGCTCAGTTAACTAAAAGAAAGAGAACCTCCAAATCAACAAAATCAGAGATGAAAGTGGAAACATCAAAGATACAGAACATTATAAGGGTTTACATTAAAAACCTATACGTTACTAAATTTGAACACCTAAAAGAAGTTGACAGGTATCAAAAAGCATGGAAACCACCAAAGCTAAACCAAGAAGAGATCAACACCTTAAACAGAGCCATAACACATGAGGAAATTAAAACAGTAATACAAGACCTCCCAGCTAAAAATACCCTAGGACCAGATGGATTTACAGCAGAATTCTATCAGACATTTAAAGAAGGTCTACATACAATACTACTTAATTTATTCAAAAAAATAGAAATGGAGGGAAAACTTCCAAATTCCTTCTATGAAGCCAGCATCACTCTCATACTCAACAAGATACTTGCAAACTGCATACAGACACACATCAAAAAGATCATCCACTGTGATCAAGTTGGCTTTATTCCAGAGATGGTTCAATATATGTAAGTCAATAAATGTCATAAATTATATAAATGGACTCAAAGACAAGAACCATATGGTCATCTCAATAGATGCAGAGAAGGCCTTTGACAAAATTCAACATGCATTTTTGTTCAACGTCCTAGAGGGAATTACACTGGAGGGAACATACCTCAACATAACTAAAGCCATATACAACAAACCCACAGCCAACATCATTCTAAATGCAGAAAAACTGGAAGCATTCCCATTAAAATCCAGAACCAGGCAAAGCTATCCACTTTCTCCACTCCTTTTTAATAGAGTGCTTGAAAATCTTGCTGGAACAATAATACAAGAGTAGGAAATTAAAGGAGTAATAATTGGAAAAGAAGAGATCAAATTATCCCTTTTTGCAGATGATATGATACTATACCTAAGAGATGCCAAAAATTTCACCAGAAAAATCCTAGAAATTATTAACACATTTCAGTAAAGTGGAAGGTTAAAAAATTAATCTACAAGTATCTATTGACTTTCTGTATACCAATAACAAGCAATCAGAGAAAGAGTACATGGAAACACTCCCTTTCACAATAGGTGAAACTCTGAAACTCTTAGAAGAAAACATTGGCAATAACCTACAAGATATAGGTGTAGGAAAGGATTTTCTAAACCAGACATCAATTGCTCAGGAAACAAAGGCAAGAATCCACAAATGGGACCTCATTAAACTAAAAAGCTTTTGTACATCAAAAGCAGGAACCAAGGAAGTGAAGAGAAAACCCACAGAATGGGAGAAAATCTTCTGAAAGAGAAGAAGAATAGGAAACAGGCATTAATAAGTGAGATATGGATAAAAATGGGGTTTTTTAAGGGGAGGAGGGAGAGAGGGTTATACAAGGAACCTTGGGGATAAAAGGAAAGAAGGAGCTCATGAGAGGTGGGACCATAGGAGAAGGGTATTAATAAGTGAGAAATGGGAGAAATGAGGGCACTTTAAATGGGGAAACTATGGTGGAAGTGTTAGACAATGTGAGAGATAAATACTGCCTAGCTAGTTTTAGAAAACCAGAGGGAACCATGTTAATCGAACAACCTACTGACAGAGTATACATACAACTAATTCAAGGAATATAATACATGTCTAGGCAAGGTTTATCTGAGAATGTTTGGTCTTTGCCCAAGCTTATCTACATAGCACATGGTAATTAAAAATACCAGACTGGTAGAACTATCCTTGGTTCTTTAACAGCCATACTTTGAGGCCTGTACTGATTTGGTCAGAGGGAAATAAAGGACAGTTTTTACGCCTTGCTCTCCTAGGTTGACTAAGCTCCAGGGGTCTCTGAGCATCTCTCAAAATGCCCTGTGTGGTTATTCACCTGTCCTCTTGATCAAGGAGGCCATGGAGACCCCACCAAATGGACATTAACCAGTGTGCAGTCTACAAAGTGAGGGTCAACATAGAGGAAACATTTCCTCCAGGCTTCCAAGTGAAGCCAGCCACGGTCAAGTAGGACCTTTGACTTATCTTCATATTGATGGAACTGCTAAAAGAAAGGAGTCAGGGGCTCCTCCCTAGCTCACGTGACCCCTGAGTTACAGATCTTCAAATGACCTTAGGAGTAAAAATATATTGGTTTATCTGGACCAACTGTATTGTCTTAAACTCCCAAAGGGAAAGTATAGCCAAAGATTAAAGGGAACAATATAATTCTTTAAGAGTCCATATGTGTAGCTACAAACTACATAACAAGAAACAATTCCAGACAGGAGATGCCTTCCTTTGAGTTGTTGGCCAGGGTTGCCCAAGAGACTCCCAGACAGTAACCCAGCATAGAACTGGGAAAATGAACAGCAGACCCCAATCTTCTCTAAAGGAATATTGGCAACTGATTGCTGCTAGATCAGGAAGAGCTTATCTCCCTAAAATAAGGAACTCTAGATAGGCTGATTAGATTCAGCAGATGGACAAGCACTGGAGAATGGCTGGGGGTGCTGATAACACTGTGGACAGTAACAGGGATTACAGAGTATATGGGCTCCAGTGTGGGGGGAGACTATGGGAGGGTGCCATTTGGGATGTGGGTATATAGATGAATAGATTGTTTGGGATATTCTGTATGAAACACACACATAAAAAATCAACAAATTAAAAAAATGAGTTACATTTGAGGAATAAGTATACAAATTTACTCCATGTTAATTAGTAGAGGTGAAACACATTACTATTGAAATCTACCCGATGATTTTATATTCATGCTCAAGTGGATCTCAGAAAGTAACCGACTGTGACTAGTAATAATCAGAAACATAGAGATTAGAGATGCATGTGCAAACATCTAAGTGCCAGTAGCGTTAAAACTGAGTTTTTCTGTATGAAACAGTATATTTTAAAATGAAATGGAGATCTTTTTTAAGGATTAAAACCTCATTCAATTTTATGCCTTATAGGGTTTATACTGAGTTCAATATTATATAACTGTATCAATTCAACTATGAACCTAAAAATTTACACCCAGTATTGAAAGAGATGCATCTTTGCTCTGGAAATTGTTATTGAATGTGTTAATGCAGTAATTAAATGCTTTTTCTAATCATATGGTTATTAAATAAATAACTTATAAAAAGAGTATTATCATTGCTTTTGGTGAGAGGGGTTGTACACCTGTGGTTGTTTCCCTGCCCCGAATGCATAGGTGTTTGAACTTCTTTGTATGAGTTCATTTAAACTCAGAATACAGAATTTCAAAGGAATGTAGGATGGGAAAGGAGGGGATAAGTCTGGTTGGGTTGTTAATATTACTCTAATCCCTTTATGTGAGAGGGACATTGCTCTAGTTGCTGGCAACTAAGTCTCGTTGCTATTCTTTACCTTTTCTTTCCAGGGAGATTGAGTGTGGCTAAAGAAGTTCCCTCCTGGAGATTTTGGAGTCATTAAATCTATCAAATCAAGTGCCAGTTATGTATTTCTATTGGTATGAGAAGCCCTCATTTATTTACATTCCTATTAAAATCAATCCTTTCTCCTAAGTAATTAACAGCAGCTGCTTAGGAAGCAGCCTTAGTAAACCGGTGAAAGAAAAGTGCAGCGTTGTGACACAATGGCAAAATTATAAAGATGAAAGTATCTTAATCTGAATCAAAGAAGGAGGGAAACTGCAGTTCTATTACCTAAGAGCTATATTAACTTGAGTGCATTGCCTTACTCCCTTACTCCTTATTTGTAAGATGTCTGATTTTTCTTTCCTTCCTAGATTGGGAAGACAAATAAGAGAAAATACATCCAAAAAATTCTTGCATATTTCCTGGCTCATAACTTATTTGTAGAACAATAGTTATTAAGACAATTATTAATTAAATGTGCTATAATCATCCAAATCCTCATTTTTGAGATCTGGAAAAGTCAGCTGTTAGTTTTTGTTTGAAAAAATGGTTATTCCTATAACTGTACTAATTATGTTCAAAATGTCCTTGGAAGGTTTAATTAAGGAAGAAGCCTATAAATAAGTCAGGCATGATCTCTTCTAAACCATTTAAATTCTTGGCTCCTCCTTGAACTTGTATTGGAGTCCGTAAAAGATTTGTGGAGACTGTCTTGTGTTCTTTCAGATGCTTTTAATAGTAAATTTGTCCACATTTATGAAACAGACAGTTTAAAATCATTCCAAAAGATCTGAATAAGGAGATGTTCCAGCCAGACCACTACACATGTGAGGACACAAAGGAGCCAAAAGTGAAGTGGCCCATGGGGGCAAGATGTGCCCTAAGGGTTAATATGAAATGTCATAAGTCAATATTTTCCTTACATATGATTGTGGTGCTGGGAGCTGAAGGGAAAATGATCATAGATAAAGCCAAAAGAAGGACCAAAGACAGCTGAAACAGGCCAGTTTTCAGTTATTACATGATATAGAATGTCAAACCAAACACTATATTTAAAATAAAACGTCCAAATGTCCAAAAGCAGGGAAGTTGGTAAACTACAAGTATGAGAATAAATGGATAAATATTGAACCAAAGTAGAGGATGTATACTACCTCTTTCTTTGGGGGCAGTTGATTTTCAGTTTTGGTATTTCAATTTCATAGAAAAACCCTGAACAGTTCAGGGGACTCTTGAGTATTCTGCCCAGATTTAGCACTTGCCTACAATTTATTCACTAGTTTTCTTGATCTGTTTACATATTATGAACCATCTGAAAGTAAGTTGTAGACAATACCCTTCCCTTTCACCTTTAAAATACTTCAGGGTGTTTCATAAAACTAAGGGCATTTTGCACATCACTTTAATATAATGATTAAAATCAGACAATTTAACATTGATACAATACTATTTTCTAAATTACTGTCTACTTTAATTTTATCAATGGTCTTAATATAATACAATTATGGTACAATTCTCCCTCAAGTCAGTTTCCGATCTAGGTTCACACATTGTATCTGGTCACCATGTCCCATTAGCTTGTTTTGCTCTGAAAGCTACTCTGACTTCTTTTTCTTCACCTTAATATTCTTGAAGAATTTAGTTATTTGGTAGATGGTTCTTCCATAAGAGTTTGCCTGATGTTTCTTCCCCATGGTTAGATTTAGACTATGCATCTTCAGCCAGATAATTCCAGAACTGATGTTTTAATCTTTGCAGTTTACTTTATCCAGGAGGCACAGAATGTTGATCATCCCATTGTTAATGATGTTGACATTGATTACTTTTTTAAAGTAGTATCTCTATAGTTTCATCGGCGAGTTACTTTTCCTCATAGTAATCGACACATAATTTGTGAAAAGACAACTAATTTGTAGAAATAGTTTGCTCTTATTTATTGTTCTTTGTTTTAGACAGGATTTTGCTCTGTAGCCCAGGATGGCCTGTAACTTAATTCATAGTCCAGGCTAGCCTCAAACTCATAAACGTCCTCCTGCCTTAACTTTCTGGGAGCTGAGATTTCAGGTGCTCTTCATCATTGTTCTAGTTACTAATTCATCATTTCATAATTCCAGCATTCTTTTTATACTTATTGGTTTGCATTTTATATAAGGAAGAGCCTTCCCTTCTACCTCACTATTTTTAAAAATATTATTTATTTTATTATATGTGTATGATTATTTTGTCTGCATATGTGTGTGTGTGTGTGTGTGTGTGTGTGTGTATACTATGTGTATGCAGTGACTGCAGAGGCCAGAAGAGGGTTTTGGATTACCTGGAACTGAAGTTATGGTTGTTAGCCACCATGTGGGTACTAGGAATTGAACCTGGATCTTCTGCAAAAGCAGCCAGAGCTCTTAACTGCTGCACCATCTCTCCAGTCTCCTTCCCTATTATTTATTTACATTTTTATATTATTCAACCAGTATGCATGCAAGGTTTTTATTTTTTCTGTTGATTAGTGATGGAAGACATCTTTGCCATACTTCTGGTTCCAGAAGAAAAAGATTCAATATTGTACTCTTATGTCTAGTTTTATCTGTAGGTTATGTATATGTGTGCCTTCTACTTCTAATTTCTGTGAATATATTTATTTATTTATTTTTGTTTTTTAATATCTTATTTATGACTATTTTTTAACAGAGCATAAGGTAGGGGTTTATTTACAGAAGAGTGGGCACCCTACATTTACAGCTGCACCATAAAGTCCACACGCAAATACAGATCATGTGACCTCCTGACAACCCCACAAATGGTAAGAGAGGTGCCTCTTGGTGTTCTTGGCATATATATATATATATATATAGAGAGGGAGAGAGAGAGAGTATATATCCTTTGCCCCTCCCCCCACATGCAGCTAAGGTCGACTGATTGGGTGGGAGGGGTAACTGACTTCTCCCTCAACTCCTTGATGAGTACAGGAAGGAGGTGTAACTATAGCTTGCTGGCATAGTGGTCTGAGGACATTTCCAGTTAACACTCCACCCCTTGCTCCAGCTCTTACATTGTTTCTGTCAACCTTTTCTACAAAATTCCTGAGCTTTCTAGGAGGTGGTAGGTGTGGGTGATCTTCCTCCTATTGTGGCAAAGCACTGAGCTTTTGGGTCTCTGCATAATTTCTTTTCCATGGGTTGTTGGCCAGTTTCAGTGGGATTCCATCTACTATAAAAACACACACAGTAAGAAACAAGAACATCTAAACAGTGACTGCTATAATAACTTAACCTATGGGTGTAAACACAAATGCTTGGTCAGTATTTCATCTAATTTCTGTGAATTTTTTAACATGAAGTTTTCTCAAAATTATTTCTGATACCTATTTCAACAATTGATGTTTATGCTTTTATCCTATGAATATAGTAAGTTAAAATATTTTAAAATGAGTATTGAATAAACCTTAACATATCTGGGATAAATTTCACTTGCTCATTATATGATATCCTTTTAACATATTTTAAAGAATTTTTTATTGCACCAATGTTTATCAGGATTGATAAGGGTCATTTTGGTCTTATATTTTCTTACTATAGTCTTTTCAATATGTGTTTTTTTCCCTTTAATTTTCAAATTTCCTTATCTAATTCTGTGATTTTGTTTTTTGTATATGCTGAAACTCTGATGTTAAGGGTGTAGATGTTGGTGTATTGGTACATACTTTACAACAACATACTGTAAAAAGAATCTCCAATTTTGAACATTTTATGATTTCTGTTCTGTAAATACTTACACTATGAATGATTTTGACTTACCCATGTAATGTCACTGAACACAGAGTTAATAAGAAATCGTCAAAATTTGCTTCTTGTGATCCACTATGAGTCAGCTCCAAGACAAAACTGCACATGCACGTTTATGATAGTTATGTATTAATTTTTGTCATTATGAAATGTTTCTCTATAACTCAGGTAATACTTATTTTCTGAACTTCTGCTTTATCTAAGAAAAATATAGCCACTCAATTTTCTGTTTAGTTTTCTAGATATATTTTTAATTAAATGTTTGTGCATTTCATCCAAAAAATATGAATCATATTTAGACCCACACCCCCATCCACACCCCATACTGGATTTCATGCATTCTGTCATATATGTTAAGGTCTATCTGGTCAAGCTTTTGTACCGATATCCCTCAGTACAAGTTCATCCACTGGAGTCTAGTCAGCCTATCTAGACTCCCATAAAGAAGGTCAATTCTCCCTCACTCAGCAGTAATCAGTTTCCAATAGTTCCTTGGTTAAGGTTGGGGCTTCCTGCCTCTTTATTTTTTAAAATTTATTTTGTTATATTTAATCATGTGTTTGTGCATGTGTTTTTGTGTGGATGCATGCGCATGAGAACTGGTGCCTGCAGAGGCCAGAGGTGTCAGATCTTTTATAGCTGGACTTACAGGTGGTAGTGAGCTGCCTGATCCAAGTGCTGGGAATCGAACACAGGTCCCCTGGAAGAGCAGTATGTGCTCGAAACCACTGACTAGCCCCCTGGTTAATTTTTGTGTAGTTTATTTTTTCTGACTTTTCACTTTTAATCAATCTGTTTATTTAGATTTAATGTTCAGTTGTTTTAGTTGGTATACGGTTTTGGTTTTTTTTTGTTGTTGTTCTTTTCGACACAGGGTCTCCCTATAGCCCCAGCTGCCCTGGAACTCACTATGTCGACCAGGCTGGCCTTGAACTCATAGAGATCCGTCTGCCTCTGCCTCCCGAGTGCTGGGATTAAAGGCGTGCGCCACCATGCCCAGCGGTATACAGTTATTTTTACTTTCTCTCACTCTTCTGCAATCTCTGTCTATGAACTATAATTTTCAGGACATTTACATTTGAGGCACCAGTTGAAATAGTTTTGACCCACTATTTGTACTCTATCTCATCTGTTTCTTCTTATTTTTTTCTGCATTCCTGACTTCCTTTGGCCTAAAATTATTTCAGATTTGTTTTTCATATTTGCATTTTAGGTATGCTTCTTTGCATTTTTAGTGATTGTTTTACATATTCCAGTATGTACAATATATTTAGAGTTAATATTGAATCACTTATTTTATTTTGTTAAATATATTT